TCTTACCGCCCAGTCATTTCTTTCGTACCCAATTCGTGGATTTTGGGCAGTAATGCTTAATCAGCAAACGAAACTCACTTTTTTCCATTTTCGTAAAAATTCACGAGTTTGTCTGCTTTGAACGGCTATCAAACACCAACTGAATGACGTAGCTTGCTCAAAATTAGAAAGTTGACCACTGGTAGATTACAGCTGACGGCTGCACTGTTGCATTTGGAGTAACAGGGTGGGGAATTCAAAAAACCACTGACTTATCAAACCGCCCTCGAATATTAAGTATATTAATTATTATTATAGCTGGAATAATATGATTTAAATATTGCCATAAGTGTATTAAATTTAATATATTAGTCACCATTTTTGTTTGCCACAATATGCTGTAATCCGTTTATTTTATTCTTGTTAGATTGCGTTTTAACCATGAAAAGACACAAAATTAATATTATTTTAATTCCATTAGTTACACGATTTCAGCACGTAATTATTCATCCTTATAAGCAATTCGCTGACCTTAATTTGTGAAAATGGCTTTTAAGTTGTTTGCAAATTTCGTGCATGTCTGAGTCCCACTTAAAAGGCAGCAATTTAGAGCACATCAAAACTATCAATTTTGGGTTATAAAAAATATACCAATTTCTTTAAGTGTCTAACAATAAAGTAATCGCCAATAAATTGATTTTATGAGACCATAATGAATATTAGATTATTGAAAATAAAATAGAACGTATTGGTTTAGAAGATAATTCGTTGAAATGGAAATCAAAGTATTATCGGTCGCTTAATATAATTACTAATATTGCAAAATATACATTTTTTAAATATTTCACATATTTCAATGAGAAAGAACATATCCTTGCCACTAGATGATGAGTCATAAATTGTGTGTGTTGCGTGGAATTCTTCTTCTTTCACCCATCAAGAGTTCTCAAACACATTTGACCTTCAAATCACGCTTAATTTAACCACAGAAATAATGTCAGAACAAGCAATTTAGCTGTGTGTGTGTGTTCAAATTAAATCAGTCAGTCATATTAGAATCCTTGAAAGTCCTTTCGGTATATGTGTTGGAGATGTTGTGCTGCGCGCTTAAATAAGTTATAATACAATTTGCAATTTTAAGTTTATGTGCTACATTTTTTCTGTTTTTAAAAGTTACTGACATGTTTCACTCAAAGTTATGTATCTGACATGGGTTCAGCAGTGTGGATTCAATATAATTAAGTGCTACACACAATTTTTTTTCTTTAGGTATTTAAACACATTATTTTTCTATTTAAATTTTAATAATTTTAGTTCACTTACAAATAAAACTATATACTATATAAACATTATAAATTTTTATATTAATTCAGAATAACTTAAAAGTTTTCAAATTTATTTATTAAAAATCTTATAAAATTTTCACAATTTTATGTAATTTACACTACTCGAAATTCTAATAAATATCAACATTCGCTGCCTTACCGACATACTTTACTATTTCCCTCAATTTACCATCAATTTACTCGAACGCGCACATGGCGTAAAGCTGTGGATCGAAGATGGATAAAGAAAATTTGACATAGGTATGAAAATATTTTCTCTAGGATGTTCGTTTCTTAAGCCTCTGTCTAATACCATTAGTGTAGGCATTATAGAGTAGACAGATTCGCACTTTATAAACAACAAAGACCTTACATTAAGGCCAATAACAATATTACTGTCAAGTTCATTAGTATAACATAAGTGCCACACTAAATAACTACTAAAGCTGTGGATCGATGAATGATTAAGAACATTTGACATAGAATATTTTTTCTTTTAAAAGGTTTTAAATCTCTGTCTAATGTCATTAGTGTAGCCATGAGAGACTCGACATTACGAAGATCCGACTTTATGAGCAACGAAGAGCTGACTTTAAGGCCAACAACTATATTCGTCCCAAGTTCAGCAATATAAGTGCCACTCTAAATAACTACTAAAACAACTGTGGATCGATGAATGCTTAAGAAAATTTGACATATTAGAATATTTTCTCTATGGTGTCCCTTTCTTAAATCTCTGCCCAATGTCATTAATGTAAGGATTATTGACTAGACATTACGGAGATCCGACTTTATGAGCAATGCAATGTTGTTTATGAGACCAACAACAATATTCATAGTACTTTTTCAGCGTTTGGTTGCTAACAACAACTGTGAATCGTGAAATGCAGTGTTATAGTTCATATCATGTATTGCATATTATGTTACTACATCATGCAGCACAGTACTGTTTTTTACTAAACAACGAATTAATTTTATAGTTGTTAGTAGACAATACGTTCGTTTTGTAATGATTTCTTGATATAAGTCTTGGGATTCCCTTTTCATTATATGTTATGTGAATGACATAGGAGGAAAGACAATATATATATTATTTATTTTATTATAATTAGCCCTAAATATAATCAATTATTTTAATAAAATAAATACCTAGCAGGGACTTTCATTGTTTTCTCCGATTTTTATTATATTTATTTCGCCTTCATATGACACTTTCTTCGTTTTTTGTTGCTGTAAGCTAGCACTTTAAGTTTTGCTCATTTACTTTAATATATATATACCTATTTGTCGACATGCGTAAGTGAATGATTTATGTGTATATGATATATTACTTCTGCGTAAGATTTTTCTTAATTTTTTCACTTCTAAATACTAAATACTAAATACTTTTCATTAGTATTTAGTCTTTCAGTAACTTTTTTTGAATATAATTATTTATGGCATTTTGATTTTAGTAATGTTAAAGATTGATTTAATTTCGAGACACTTTGAATACTCGAACTTACAATAGATGTCGTTAAAGGAAAAATAAATAATTTAGCAATTTTTCGGTTAATGTCCAGTTTTAGCTTCCAGAAGAAATAGTTTTTTAGGAAAGTGTTTTTTTCGCAGTTTGTCAGACTGTTCACCTGTAAGGACGAAAGATCAGAAAAAATAGGTTTTCAGGGAAAATACTTTTTTAGCAATTTGTCAGGCCATTCATTGGTAACGACAATAGACCAAAAGCAATAGGTTTTTATAGAAAGTTATTTTTTGGTAGTTTATAGGTAAGAACGAAATATCTGTTAAATTATCTTAATTTGATGAGATAAATTTAGTTTTCGTCTTTTTATATCATACAGTTTCTTGCCAAAAATTTGATATTAAAATGGCGAAGAATCGCTAATTGGAAATAGCGAAAAGATATCTGCTGAGCTGCCACTGCAGCCAACCAACAATATATACTTACTGTTGTCCTTCTCTCCTAGTATAGCATAGGGCCACAACAATTTCTCAAATTCTTGATCAGTTGCCTGCTTCTCTCGTTATTTGATTCCAGGAGTACTGTGTTTAAGCTCCTGGTTGGATTCTAGGAGTATTGTACGTCTTTAAGCTCCTGGTTCACAGTTCTTCGCCATGTTTTAGGTGGACCTACAGATCGACCGCTACCTTGTGGATTCTAAGGTAAGGCTTGTTTTGTTATACAGGATGCTGGTTAATTAAGCATGTGGCTAATCTACTTCCATTTTCTTCTTCTGATTTTAGTGTCAGCTTGTGTTTGTTTCGTGCCCTTCCCATAGGTCGCTTTTGGATATTTTTAGTATTCCTCTTCATCAATTTTTAATGAATACATGGTTACGCAATGGAAACGCGGTGGTTTCCCACGTTTCGCTTCCGTACCTTCCGAAACACATCTTGAAGTTTAAGTTAAAAATTTGAAGCTTAGTACAGATGCTTATTTGGTTAGACCAGCCATATATAATAATTTTGTTCATTTTATTAAAAAAATTAATTGCAAATGGGTAAGCACTCGCGTTTGCTTTTTACATTTTCAATAGAAATTGCGGTGATTTCTTGGATAGAATATATAGCTATACCGTTAAATCAAATATAAAACATATGTGTAATGGCTGTATGTAATTGTTATAATCAAACCTAAAGTGTCTACAATCAAAATATAAAGTATTATATTGTGATTAACTAATAGATTATGCAAATAATTATTTGTTGATATTCTAAAAATAATTTTTTTTTTGTTACTTGATATATATCTTTGCATTTATGACAGACGATGTGTCTCTATACGTATAACTGAAACACACATTTAAATCAAAAAATTAAACACAATATGTCTCATCCTATAATAAAAATTATACATGCTGTGTGTGTTATGTGATATATAACTAAATATATGAAACACACATTTTTAGTTAGGACATGCTATAATGTAGTCAAGCATCACGACGTAGTCCTTTAGTTCAAATGGCAAATTTCTGGAGCCAATGACGCCATTTGTACACAGTAGACGTGTAATGGTTGCTTGGATATCCATTTTGTTGACAGTAATTGTTTGCAAGAAATTTAATAGCACGATGCGTCACTTTTAACGTCCAATCTCTCTACGTGCACAACAATATTAAAAACTTTACCACATTTGCAGGTGTTAAAGGTATAAAGACTATAAAGACTATAAAGACGATGATTGGTTTGTAATAAATTTTTTCTGTTTAAGAGTTTTTGTGAAAAGCCAGTAATGGACATCGTCAACTCACGTAAAAATGTGAAAAAAATCAGATTATATAAATGTCTAGTCCATAATGAAAAACTTGAATAAATAACATATATTTTATTGTTACCTTCCAGCGTAATTGCTTTTTGATATTAATTAAATATTACAAATGTTGCATGTAGCTTTATTTGAGCAGACAGTTGAACCGCGGTTAATGGATGGTGATTGAACCTTTTACAAGCCAAACATAATTAAATTAAGTTTGTTAATTAAAAAAAAAAAATAATATAATACTAAGTAATATACACAGCAAAATTTCTTAATAAGTGTTAAAGAAATAAGAGTTATTATACTTATAATATCTATAAAAAGTGATTTAATATATCCGTATTTATAAATAATTGTTTATTGTATATATTCATTTTAGTGTTTCATATAATTTAGAACAAAATATTTATTTAATGACTTTATTTACAAAGTGAAAAAATATGGATTTACGAAAGCAGAAAAGACTTGGGCCAGCTCCAATAGCCTCATTTGAAAAGTCATTTGAGGACACAACATCAACACAAACTGTTGGCAGTTCAGAGCAAAGTTCAACGTATTTAGCCGAAATTACTGCCAAGGATATAAATCGAAATGGCGAGGCGGTAAGTACATTATAATAAATTTTTATTTAAAATAAAATAAATTTAGAAATACATTTTATTCATGGCTGCAATTACTAATATTTATGTTACACTAAAAATGTAAGCAATTCAGTAAAATCTAAAATTTGTATGAAAGATTGAAGAAATTTAAAATAAAAATTAGCATTATTTATGAATTTAAGTGTTTTAAACGAATTTTTAAAATTTCAAGAAATTACAATTTTTGTTTTAAATATCACAAATATGCTTAGAAATATTCTTAGTATTTTTCAAGGCATTTTTTTAAAAAGGTCACATAACCTATAAATTGAACTACTTAAATTAATTCGTATCAATTACGAAGTAAGCTCTCTCACTCTGTTGACGGAACCAATCAGTGCTCTATTTAACTCAAAACTATACATTAAAATAACAAAAGTTAAAGTGTCAGCTAACAACACGTTAAAAGTGAAAATATTTGTTATATTTTTAAAAACATATGAAAATATTACACCGTCTATAAATTGATACAATTTATTAAATTCATCATCTTCTTCTTCTTTATTTGCCAATTCGATTCCGAATATTGGTGATCATAACTTGATTAATTATAACATAATAATAATTATAACATAATAACATAACATAATACTGTATTGTTTGATTAGCTTTTAATAAACACAATTACAAATTTTTAACTATTGCTCTTTGCATCTAGCTATATTTATAAGACTGCCAACCTCTTGTATTTGGGTCCATTGACGAATGTTTCGCAGCCACGAAAATTGTTTTCTACCTATACCGGGTTAAATTCATATTAATCATAAAATAAACTCTTGAATTTTAGTTGAAATTGAAATATATATTGAATTAAAAAATTTGAGGTGACAGCTAACAGCACGTAAAAAATGGAAATATAAATTAAAGCATAAAATTATATAAAATAATTTTACAAAAAATGTATGTTGTAATCATGTAAAAATCTTTAAATCTTATCACGTTCTATGGAAAATTGCAATAGACGTCCTATATTACCAAATACTCAATTTAACAAATATTCAATTCAATGAACAATAAAATTCAGTAATTGACTATTAATTTGTCATATGGAATAGTTGAAAATTTAACAAATACTGCAAAAACAAATCTATTTGTGAAAAGAGAATCTCTCATTAAACTAACCTCTACAATATTCCACAAATATGCCAAGCAATTGATTAATCAAAATAATATATATTACAACAAAATCATGATTTTATAAGATTAACAAGAAAATGTATATAAATATCAATTATAGACTAGTTAGGTTGGTACACGTTCACTTGAATGGGGAGTCATGCCTTTAAGTGTTATTTGTACGCTCACAACTACGGTCTTTTCGGCAATCTTTCTGGTTTACTTATGAACAACACATCCCTATTATTATAACGGGCCATTATTTGAGCCATCATTGTTTGGTTTTGGACACAAGGCCACCACTCCGGCTTAACCTAATCATACTCTTTTGTCGATTATAGTAGGGCGGCATATAAATATTATTATCTTTACCTTATTACATAACTAAAAATTATGAAAATATTTAGAAAATCAATATCATTTGCAAGAAAAAAAATAGCAACCATAAGTAATGTGTGAGTGAACTACATCTAGAACTGTGTTTTGCAAACATAATGTGTTGCAGATAAAGTTTTTGGTTTGATATATTTCTATCAGGATTCAATATTTTTTTGAGATTTCTCGTTTGAAGAACACTTCTTCATTCAACCCAAATATCCGTATATCTAAATACTTCGCATCATGCTTAGATGGTCGCTTGCAGCTTAAAAAGACGGATTCTTTTAATTTAAGGAGAGACCAGAATTATAGACAATATGGAGAACCATATGGTTATACTTTCGAAGGGCATTTTTAAGTTGAACATGCCTAAGAGTGACGTTTGAACATTATAGTTTTCCCAAATGAATTTCCAAATGACCTATATCCAATGAGTTTCTAATGATTTTATCTTGGTATATTTCGCAGCATTTTCGTAATGTGTATGCCCTAAGGTTTTACTGATAAAAAGAACGATTTATATTTTTTGATGTTAATTTTTTCTTGCCGAGAGTGAAGCGTCTTTATAACGAAAAGAAACTATTTAAAAGTTAGATGGATAAGAATAGCAAAGAAAAAACAAGGAAAAAATTTTAATAAATTAAAATAAATTTTTGTCCTTGTCTTTTCTTTGCTATTCGAATCTGTCTGATATTTATTTCTTTTAAAAAAAAATTTCAGTATTTGATTATTTATACTGTCTCTTTAGCCGAAGCTCAGGTATTTGTAATCATTTAGTACAAATTACCGCGGATTAATTTTTGTATAATTAACTACTTATTGCCATTGCACATTATTTGAACTCAGGACAACAGATTTATTAGATTAAAAATTATAAGTTCACAAATTTACATGCCATTTGAATATTTAATTGTGTATATAAATGGAAAGATATCCAAGCATGCGAAATGTCACTTAAGTTATGCCTAGAAGCATGCTTTTATATTTCATGCTTATACTAATTCAAAGTCACGTGCCTGCGGCTGTCAATAAAAAAAATATATCCATAACGGAGAAAAAAAATGAAAAAAAATGTGTATTGAAAAAAAAGACGGAAATTTAATCACGCAATCGCGTCAAAACATGTGTGCAACGCGTTAAAATGTCAAAAAGTGTAAACAAATGTTTACAAGAGCGGAACGGAGTAAAGAGCGAGTAAACAAGAGAGAAAGGCTGAATTAAAGCTTAATGCACAATCTTTTCTATACCAACTGACGTTTCTAAAGCGAAAGCTTACAAAAAATGACAGTTGTGAAAGCTTTTAATACACCATGGTTAATGTACTTAAAGTATGCTACATATAACACTTTTTCCATGCTTGTATTATCCTGAAAAGCTCCAATGTAAAGCAATTGTATTGCTTTAAGCTGGTTAAAAAATTTTTACAGTAGTAGTTCGTGTCTGGTGCGTGTGGACTTGGTATCGTGCGCTTTAACGTTTTGACTTGTTTGAATGAAAATAGTTTGACTTTTTAATTTGCCTAATTTTAGGCGTTGTGCTACATATAAAACAGTGTACAAAATTGTTATTTGATCTAATTAATGCAATAAGTAATGTTTTAGTAATAAAAAAAATTAATAAGAAAAGGTAAAAGAAATTGTAATTAAATTAAAGCAACTACTATATAACTTTTCTAACGTTACTGTGTGAATTCAAGAAAATTTACATAAAAACTTTTTCCTATACATTTGCAAAGTGCCAAAAAATGTGCTTCGGAATATATTTTTGTATACCAAAATTTCTAAAGTTATCTTGAAAGTTAAAGAAATTTTTTCAATTATGCGTATAAATATTTCCTGCTTCAATTAAAAGTGAATTGTATGTCAACAAACAAAGCAAAAAATGCAATTAGAAAATTTATTAAAGCATAATTGAAGGCGCATAAGCTTTCTGAAATATACCTTTGTTTGAGCTCTTAGACTTACTTCAAGGTTTCAGTTGGCGCAAGCATGTAGTCGCATATAGAGAAAATGTGAAAATGTGAAAATGTGAAAATGTGAACAGTTTCAGATACGAGTATGCAAATGAATTTAGTTGCGTGTATGGACTTATGCAAAAATATTCGCATGCAGTGATTTGAAATCAATTTTAAATTGTTGCTTGTGTGATTTATTTTTTTTTTTCACTTAAACTTAAATAAAACGTATATGTACATTTTTTCTATTTTTCTGTACAAAATTCTAAAATTTAATAAAATTTATTGGGTGAAAATTTAACAAAACCCAGTTAAATCAAATGAAATGAGCAAATTTTTTTTTATGCTACCTAATGGATATAAATTTTCCCTATCTGAAAGTGTGGTTACTGCGTTTGAAGTGAATTTGGAACGAAATATACATTATTGGACACTTAAATGGGTGCAATAGACAGAAATGGGTTTTTTTTATTATACTTAATGTCGCCAGTGTGTCTACTTATTTAGCTGCAGGAATACTTTATAGTGGTCTTAATGCGTACATTTTATAATTTAAGTTTTATAGTAGAGAAATAGACAATCAATTTAACTTTTAAAATTATAAGATTTTTTACTTTAAGAAAGCATATTTTAAATAGATTTGTAATTAAAGCAAAAAATAATTAGAGTTATTTATAAATGAGGGAGTACATAATTTATCTATTTAATTAAATACTTTTTTACACATTTAGGAAATTTAGTAATTTAATTACATTAAAATATATTATATATGGACCCTGAACTAATTGAAGAAAATTCGAATATTTCCCAAGACCACTGATGATGATTACTTGGTAATACTTGAAACAACTAAAATTTTTGTTGTTGTCTTTTCAATTCTATTCGAATCCTTCTAACTTTTAAATAGTTTCTTTTCGTCAAAAGTGACGTATACTTTTGGCAAAAAAAAAAAATTAACATTATAAAATACATTAATTAAATTAAATGAATTTTTATATTGTTTTAGCAAAAAGAAAATTAATCATTAAAAGTTATTGGATTAAACAAAATTTTGTCATTCAAGATCTTTGGTTCAATTAAATAAATTCTTATATTGTTTTTGTCTAACAAAACCACAAGTGGTTAAAAAGTATCCAGTATATCAAAAACAGTAAATCCAATTGGCTAAAGTTGTACACCTTTTTTTATTTTATAAATATCCTATAATATTAAGTTTATTCTTCAGAGAGTAAGTTTTCTTTGGACATTCTTTTCCCAAATTTTATGAAAATTTTATGTATCAATATGTTATAATTTTGATAAAATTTTTTGTGAAAAAATTTTCTTTCTAATACGTACCATTACCTATAATCCTCATTTGAAGACCCAAAGCATTGGGTCTTTTTTCATTAAAACTGCGGACGTTTATTAATTAGCACTCATACGCACTGTGGAATTTTCGGACTTCCGTTAGAAAATAGTAGTTCGCTTGAAAGGATGATTATAGGAAAATAGTGTGATGAAAAAAATATTC